CAGTATTGCACAAAAGGCAGCTTATGCTGATAACATTTGAAGAAAAAAATAGGAAAGTCATTATATTTATTATTTTCTTACACACCAGTGGGTGAGAAATCCATTTGAGATAACTGGTATCAAACATATGTGTGAGATTGAATTCTAGGCCCGTGATTGGCTAATCCATGGTGATGACCTGAGGTCAGATGATGACGAACTACTTTCCTGAGTATAAATCATTCATAAGTTTCTTGTGCTTCAGTCAAATGTTCACCTACGTCTGTATTGAACCACAGGATTGTGTAATTAATATTAATAATAATTATAATAATAATAATAATTATAATAATAATAATAATAAACAAACTCGTCTGCGAGTTTGTTTGTTATTATTATCAGTTACATTATCTGTTGTTATGTCAATGTTATTGTTTTTTAGAGTGTAATGTCCCTGCTCTTCAACACTCACTTCGAAGTCGAATAAAATTCAAAACACATCACGCAATCTAATACACATCACAGTTTTGTATTCCCCCTTCTGTTTATCATATACTGTCATTATAGGCAAAGCAAATTTACTGAAAGTGACTTCTGGAAATTAGGTACATCGTAAAGCTCGCCAAATCACAAATCACAGTGTTATTTACCAGAGAGTACATACTGTGTGTTTAGAAATCTAAATATCGGATATTTACTCTAAAAATTAATGTAGAAAAATAGCGTATTAGTGATGTCAGGTATCAAATCAGTAATGATATTTTTGAAACGTCGCTGATAGCCTAGAATCGATTAGAATGTTTTGGAAAATTCGCATACACGAACGTCGAAGTGTACGTTCCGTCATAATGCCGGTTATGAGACACCTATTCGATCAGGTATATTTCAAACTCAGCTGCTCTACATGCATCCCTGAATTCCTCATACATTTTAGAAACAAATGTCACCAATGCAAATTATCTCGATGAAATCATTTCGAAATAAATTAGGTATGGAAACAAACACTGTGCTCGGAAAACTGTACTTGCTGAAATGTAAACAAGCAAAATTCAGATTTTACACTGTGTAGCATTTTAAGGGGTACTTTCGTCTTATTGTTGCATAAATTGGCTAGATCACGCGTTTGAGAATATTCATGGGAAGAGTATCGTTGCACTAATTATGGAATTTCAAATATATACATTACAATGATGTGGTAAATTCTGTCCTGTGTGACGCCATGACTGACGCTAAATCACGCACAACGAAGACGTAGTTATCTGCATTTCTGACTAATTCTCTTTGTTACATTGGAAAACATGGTTAACCAATAACAGTACACAGATTGTCAGAATGTTTCTGATTACTTATGTGACACATTAATGTACACACGATCCCTCAATCAATGAAAACCCTAATCTGGAAATCCTGCGTACTGTTGTCAGTAAACATGCCATTTTGTAAAAGTCGGTCACTGGTAGTGATGTCATACGGAAGTAAACATTGTTGTACATATTTGGTAATTTCTTTGAGGTGTGAACTTTTAACAAGGCATCCAGCATGTTCTTTGTTTTGTCATAGCCTTGATAATCCACAAATATGGCGGAAACCTTTTTGTGTAGGGTCTCATTATTTATTGGTAGTAAGCAATACATAGGATGACGTCACTTATGACAGTGGTGTTAAGTACAAATGCGCTTCTGTGATCATGAGAATTAGACAAAATGCATCGATTCGATGCAAAAAGGTGCGATTTTAGGGTGTGTAAGAAACAGATTACTGCACTCGTGCCTGTCAGATACTATTGATCTTACAACTCGTTGTTACAAAGCGTATCTAACTCGCATTGCTCGTTAGATACATTTTGAAACAAGTCGTTGTAAGATCAATGGTATCTGAGAGACACTCATGTAGTAATCTCTATATCCCCAGCCCAACAAAGTTGGCGGGGGATATAGAAACGGGCTCCGTCCGTCCGTCACGTTTCGTATCCGGAGCATAACTAAAAAAACATTCAATATTTTTTCATCAAACTTTGCAGGTTTGTCAGGTACATGCTGAACTGGTGCCTTTTGCTATTTAGAAATTTTAGAAATTTTTATTTTTTACGTTTCCATGGCAACGAGATGGACTTAGGTTCCAAACTCTTCTTTTTTTTACAATTTCCATGATAAGTTCCACCTCGGTTAAAAAAGGTTAGGGTTTGTTTAGATTTAATTATGTCATAAATTCTACAACAGGGGCGGTGGATATAGCCACGTTAGTGGCAAACTCTTGTTTTTTCTTATAATATCAGTAAACCAGATAATAGTAAATGAGGCTGGCCTTTAATTAATTAGTACTGGTAGTTCAAATTTTGTAATAAAAACAATGTGTGCAGTAAGCAATAGTCTGTCTCATATTCCTGAATCATCATTTTCCCTTCTGCCCAGCCCTTACTGTAGTGCTAGATCCCAAAATGAAGCAAGTCTAGATTTTCCACAGGTTCTGAATCCCCCATCTCACTGGGAGTTGCTTTTCAATTAAATGGAGTTGCTTGTTTCTATCAAAATTATTCATTTTTGGAGACTTGGTAAGTCTAAGTTAGCAAGGATGACCTACTTGTTTTGCTTCAAAAGCAGAACTAAACAAATGGTTTAGACTTCGACAATGGGTGTGGTGGTGCCTGGTTGTATAGTAAGCTGGACTAGGCATGTTTGGGTTTATAACTCATGCCATTCTTGGTCAGGACAAACACATGAAGATCCAGGGTAGAATAGGTCTTCAGCAACCCATGCTTGCAGTAAAAGGCGACTATGCTTGTAAGATGTGACTAATGGGATTGGCTCGTCTTGGTTGATGCATGTCATTGATCCCAATTGCATGGATCGATGCTCATGATGTCAATCACTGGATTGTCTGGTCCAGACTTGATTATTTACAGACCGCCGTCATATAGCTGGAATATTGCTGAATGTGGTGTTAAACAACAAACCAACAAATTTGGTCAGGACACGCCCCGCTTGTCGTAGGAGTTTCCTGAAGGTATGATCTGGTTGACACACTGTGTAACATGGTGGACTGTTTGCCCAAACCACTGGTTTGATTGGTCCAGACTCAACATTTACAGGCTGATGAATGGATTATTGCTGACTCAGACTACATTCACACACCTGCTTCTCTAAATCTTGTAATCATGGACATCAGTGGTCATAAATAATATTTATTGATCCTCAACTCTATTCATTTCTTGTCACCTGCGCTCTAAGGTTAGTCACGTGATATATTGTTTAATGACAAAGACTCACTATAGCTCAGTGGTTACACTACAAGTCGCTAATGTTCGCATTTCTTTCTGACGATTCACACATTCCTTTCGACTTGTATATGTTTGAGTAAAGATAAATCTTCAGTCAACTTCATTGTACGCGTGATCTAATTAGTTTCAGCCAAGGCTGCAGTAAAACAATTACCAATCTGACATTTTGTTCCCTACACTTGAGACTTGCAGTGGGTACCCGGGTAGGGTCGGGTAATAGAGGGTTGGGTACCCAGGTAGTAAATTTGGACTCGTCCCAGCCCTATAGGACTGGGACAATACATCAGCTGACCCATCCGATAGGTATCACCAGAGACGATATTTAGAGGGACAGGCCTCAGCAGTACATAAACATTAATGGTCCCTGCCTTGCCCATGAGTGTAATTGATACATCTGGACGCCCTGCTGCTTTTTTCCTGCCAGCGGTCAAGATGTACAACACATGCTCAGATGCTCTTATCTGAGGACTTCCATAGATTAGTAAACAATCTCACGCAATGCTTGAATGCTGAGAGTTAATTCCCTTGACTTCCCTTCAAGTGCACATGCTGACATTACACTGATATTTAAAGTATTAGGCTAAGCACAGTCAAAAACTACATCGTATCAAGTCATGGCATTAATTCACCTGATTATGAAGTAAGTATATACTCTGAAATGTTGTGTTCTCAAAATAAAGAAGTTGACTACCATAAATTCTATTCCTTACATCGTATCAATTCAGGGGAATGAACAGAAGATCGATGATAAACTTGGTCAATGAAAATGTGAAAATTGCGATAAAAATGACTAGACATGAGGATTTACCATTTCAATTATATTTCCTGTTCTGTGCGGCATTGTTTTCTATGCAGAAATTAAGATTACCATGTGTATTTGTCAGTTAAACTAAGCCAGAAATAGCAATCAGCGGTACACACATTTTCTCCTGGATCTACCGGTGATTCGGTTAAAAAATACCCAGTATTATAACTTGAAGGTATTTTGATGCAATGGTCGGAAGAAATTGTATCTGAAACTATTAGTTTTCCAGCAATGATATATTCTAATATCGGGTTACTTTAGTTACAGCTTAATAAATTTATAATATTAATTAATAATAATAACCATAAGCGTAGTACTTTGATATACAGCCGGAATTGTGTTATATTTGGAACAGTTTGGCGAGTCACTATAAGAGCCTTCACAAGTTTTTGCTTTAACGAATGCGAAAAGAATATTTAGGCATGTAATCGTCAAACTACAACAAATATGACGTTTAATGAGTCAAAATATATCATGTATGATATGTGTATCCATTTTCTGTCAACTAACATTAGCTACTAACTACCATAGCGGTTATCTGATCATCGTTGCTGTAAATAACAGTGAGTTGGAGCCATCTTCCGAAATTAATGTAAACAGTAATGAATGAAGTTTTGAATAAAATTAATATAATAGATTACAAACATAAGTCCAGATATACAATGAACACTCTTTATAACCGGATAGTGTAATAACAGGATTAACATACATACTTTGTCAAATGCCTCCCGCCTCACATTTTTACTTTGATTCTGTTCATAGTGGTGTGTTTGTCCGTACTATATCTCTAAAACTAATAAGTATTCTTTTAACAATTTGCACACACAAACACCAGGTTGTCAACAGGTGCCTTTCTTTCTTTCTTTCTTTCTTTCTTTTTTTTCTTTCTTTGGACCATGACTGGAACATGTTATAATCTCTATATTTCTAACTTTACAGCAGTCTGCCTTTTTCTGGGAAGATCCGCCTGTTGGACGTAGGGAGCTGCTACAACCCCTTTGAGCAGTTTGAGGAGTTCCTTGCTATAGGCATTGACATAATCCCAGCAAAACCTGTAAGTCATTTGATAAGGCCGTGACTAAATATATTGTTTCTCATCAAAGCATTTTTCAAGTTTGGTAGTCCATCCATCATTATTTTTTACATTTTCGACCAATCTTCTGAAACATCATGTGGTGTCCTTCATAAACATCTTCCTCATCTTCCCCAGAAGACACAGGACCAATAAAGCTGAAACTTCCCATACTTGTTCCCACCCAAATATTCAAGAGGTTTGAATTTGATTATAGTGGCCATATTGAAAAACCTCTTTATGTCCATTACTTGGTCATTTTTGTTTAAAATATGATAAAGTTTAGTAGGTTTTAGACCACGTCCCCAGCAACCTATGCTGGTCATAAGAGGCAAACAAATGTATAGTGTGGTGCGGTTCAGTGATTTAGTTGATTGTGTGTCACACTGCCCTGATGACGCAGATCAGTGCTCACAAAAGTCACTGATCAAATATAGTATGTTCTAGAATTGATTGAGGTGAACTACAGAGCCTCAAGGCTCTATTGTTTTGCAGAAGTCGTCAGACTCATTGTTGGCCATGGTGGCATGGTTAGGGTTGGTAATTCTGCTGTTAAAAGTTGGACAGTAAAGGAATTAATGTAGAAAACAGATTTCTTTTCATTGGACAGAATTCAATATTTATTAATTGTACTCGATAAAAATGGTTGTGCAAGTCTGGTATTCTTGGAAAGGTATTCTTAGATATTGTGCAGAGAAACTTGACCGAATCAGAATTGTTTTAGAGTACTTTATTTGCAGAAAGAGACTGAATTCGTGAACCTTGTGTAATTGTATACCCCAAACGGTGCACAGTGCAGGGAAAGTATTTGTGCTGTACTTGTCATACTGAAAGCCAAGATCTACTGGCTTGAATAGACCCTTTCCCCATACTGTGATTCTGTGTCACTCTGTATGAAGGAAATGCGAAAACAATGTAACATTTCATCATTCTTGTTAATTAATGGTATTTGATTTTCGTTTATTTGAGAATATTTTGTTTCAGAGCGTCTACCACTGTGATTTCCTTCATCTTGAGATGACAGATCCATTGCAGGTTGCCATGGATACACTGGACACATACGTCAGCAACTTGAAGGACCCGATTGAGCGACTTCCTCGCCAGATATTCCATGTTGTAGTGTTTTCGCTTCTTTTAGAGTACCTACCGTCCGCCTACCAGCGCTGGCTGTGCTGCCAGAAGGCTCACAGTCTGCTCATGCTCAACGGCCTCCTTCTGATTGTCACACCTGATTCACATCAGCAGCATCGAAACGCCGCCATGATGAAAAGTTGGCGAGTGGCGATTGAATCCATGGGCTTTCTGAGGTGGCGTTACATCAAACTAGACCACATACACTGCATGGCTTTCCGCAAGGTGGAGAAGCCGGACAGCGGAGACTGTTTACTGGAGGGTGTGTCTCCTGACATGCTGCACATTCCTCAAGACTACAACAACGCAAGTTTAGAGACAAGTATCTTCAGTCACTCAATGCCATTCACAACAGAAGATGAAGACTTTTTCAGACAGTCTCTTCACGAGTTGCCGCATATTGCTTCGGATGATGAAGATTTTCTCTGAGTATATTATATCAACTTCAAATGACCTTAAAAGGGTTATTATCCCGATGAACAAGCTTCTAGAAGGGTCAGTTGGTATGAAAATGTTTTAATTAATCCCACCAAAACATTTGGAAATGGGAAATGTCTAGCCAGGTCCAGAAACATTGTTGAGGTGGTAAGGAGAGTGTCAATATTTATACGTATGTGTTTTAACAATGGTGCCTAGTCTAAGTCAGTTTTTGACAAAAATATAATTCAAGAAAATCGGTCTTTGAATCCCATTTCATTTTATATATTTTGAATATTTTTATACATCTAGTCATAACTATGTGTAAGTAATACGCTACTTAATACCATAATATCTAATTCATTACTGTCAATGACCTAAGGTATTGTTTATAACTCTATGTCAACTGTTGTGGTGCCCTAATGAATTCTCATCTACGTGAATCCGTTGCATCGGATGGAGGTATATATATTTCCTTCCAGAAACTGCAGTCCTGAAAACACATCTTATTCTTATGAATTTACAGATTTAGTTGCAGGCCATGTTGATGTGTTTTGTTTTTCTGAATTTCTGTGCCAATATGAAAAGACAAGAATATAGATAATGTGGCGAGAGGTCAAGTACAAAGAGAAACAGAATTGAATATCATCATGGGTTCTTGGAGCAATAAGCACAAGTATCCCAGAAACTATAGAGGTATTGAGTTTAATTTAGAGGTTGCAATGCCAGTCATACTGAGATGGTTCAACCTTATAAATCCCATATTGCTTCTGATGATGACAATTTTCTCAGAGTACCGGTATATTTTATCAAATTCAAATGACCTTAAAAGGGTTATTATCTAGAACTAGATTCTAGGAGGGTCAGTTGGTATGCAAATGTTTTTATAAATCCCACCAAAATGCAGTTCCCTAATGCATTGTTTTTTCATTGATATTCCATGAGGGCTGGGAAGGGTAACTCGGGTACTCGGGTCGAGTGGGTCCTGAGTAGGACCTGGGGACCCACAGGACTACCCGGACCCGTGGTCAGTCAGGTGATATATTGTTTACCGACAAAAAATCACTATAGCTCAGTGGTTACACTACAAGTCGCTAATATTCGAATTTCACGTTCTTCACGTTCCTCACGTTCCTTTTGACTTGTATATGTTTGATTAAAGATAAAGCTTCAGTCAACTTCAGTGTATGCATGATCTGATTGTTTGATACATGTATCTAAATAGTTTTGGCCAGGGCCTGCGGTAAAACAATTCCCAGTCAGACATTTTGTCCTCACTCTCGAGACCTACAGTGAGTATCCGGGTAGGGTCAGTTATAGAGGGTCGGGTACCAGGGTAGTAAATTTGGACTCGTCCCAGCTCTATATTCCACACGATAGATGCATACTTTTTTATTACATTTAATTCCTGGTGGATTTGCTTACAGCAGGGTTTGAACCAAGACAGATATAAAAGTTTGTTACTTAAATCAAAACTGCAGATTCATTTGTTGTATTTTTTATGCTTTTGTTTGGATTTGTTCAACATGTATAAATTATTTACATCATACATAAATATTTGTCAAAGCAAACCAAAACAGCGAGGATTTACTTCCGAAAATTGCTGGTAATGTAAGTATCAACTGGATCAGTTATGTTATAGGTCAGATCTCTTAGCCTTCTATTACTTCACCCCAAGTATCAAAATGTGTATTGCAAAATGTTCGGAAAACTATCAATGACACATGTTGAATGGAATGATTTTTTGGACCAATCAGTTCATTACCACACCCCTCAAGTTTCATATCACTTGAGGAAGGTGAACTGCGGTACCTGTGGTACTCTGGTCTTATATTTTGCAAATGTAAAGGGCAGACCAATTTTTACCTTAAAATACATATCAAAAGGATTTGGTAATTTAGACTGATAATAATACAATTGCACTGTTTGATTGGCATTTTTAGGAATTGGTAAGTAACATTAAAGGTAAGATATTTTGTTATAGAATAAAGAAGCTGTCATAGATAGCATATCTTGCCTTTACTAATATAACTGCAGTTGATAGGTTCCTATATCTTACAGGGGCACGGGTGGCCCAGTCGTCTAAGGCGCCACGATTCGCTGTGCAGAGTTGCATCCCTTGGACACGCCAGAAACCTATGATTGTGGGTTTGACTCCCGGTTTGCCCCAATTATGTTTCTAGGTTTGTCAGCACCATACCCGAGCTCGTGGGTTTCACCGAATTGGTAAACGGCTGAAACCTGCGAATAAGCTTGCAGACTAACTATGGCTGTAATGATTCACCAAAACCTACGATATAATCGATACTTAGATACACACGATACTTGCATCATCGGTTTGTGAGATCGTGATACACTATAAATAGAACAGGAACTTATAGAGTTACCTCCCGTAATAGCAGAAGTAGCACAACGCCACCTGTAAGTATGTCAAAACACAAGGAAGTGGTGTCCCAGGACGCACCTACTAACTTTTACATTTAATAACCATCCCTTTACTCAAAACTGTTTTGATCTTGTGGTTTTCTTTGTTAATTTTTTTTAAGAAAGAGGTTTTAGAGACGCATTTCAGTGAATTCATCAGTTCATACTAATTGATGTGGTGTATCGTGATACCAGTTGCATCTTCAGTCTGTATCGTGATACCAATCATATTGCAAGATACCAGGCGATACTCAACTCTCAGCTAACACACACACACATGCAGACATGGAAGTACTTGTATTTGATGCACTGCATTAGAAATTGGCAGGAAGGTATTCAGATCTTCATTTCAGATTCTATGCTCTGCGATATATATCACAGATCTGAATGAGCCCCTGTGACAGACGGCACACCCCGGTGATAACCTGTCAGACCAGTGTTGTTTCTGCAGAGGTCTACTGCTTATTTGATTTACCGGTCGCTATTCTCTCAAGTTATATTTTCAGCCGTCTCTAAACTCTATTTACTTTTCTTAAGGCTATAAACAGTATTAAAACCTGATGTACATTTAATTTGCATTGAGTGAGTGAGTGAGTGAGTGTCTGTCCACAGCATCTGCCATCTCCAGCTCATCAAATCTAAAGCTTCATTCCATATTCCACCCTATCTCCATTTCATTTCATTTCTAAATAATTAAATTGGTCATTACAATCAAATCATCTTTTATGTGTTACGGTAATTTTCTCCCCACATTGGATTATTTATACACCAGAAACGATCCCTCCTCTCAGGATGGCATGCCATTACAATCCAACAATGACTTGAAGACCACAAACTGCATTGTTATGCTTCATCACAGTACATACATGTACGCTTAACCCTAAAAATAAATGTTCAATGAGATGCTTCAAATAATGATAATTCTGAATTAAAGACATATAAATTGAAATTGTTATTGAAATTTGACTGGAAAGTAGCTTTTTTAGTAGCAGTTAGTACTTTGAGTAGAGGATTGATTATGCTTGTGGATATTTGATGATGCATAAAGAACTTTATGCACTCCAGTGATAGATGTGATGGGACAGTCATTTGCAGCTTCATCGCTTGACTTGTTTAATTTGATTGGCATTCTTGTAAAAACTTGACCATGCATATCTTCATCTTGGCCAATCACTCATTATCATCATTCAAGTCCCTAATATTTGAGTGAATAAGTAATTTCTGTTTTTTCTTACAATTCCAACTATTACCTCGCTATATGCTTCCAGTTTTTTGTAAATATTTTGAGAATGTTGAAGCAATGTCCTTGAACTTCTTGGCATACCAGATGTGGAGAGCAGAAGGGTCGGATGGCGCAGGAGTAGGAACTTTGTTGGCCCCGAACTGTACAAGTTTGATTCCTCAATTTACATTGCCCCTGTTTTCTGATTAGGGAGTTATGGTGTAATACTAAACAAAATGTTGTTAAGGCTATAGACAACATATATTGGTTGTCATGCACTACAGCTGAAACATCATTTTTTTTACTACTGGGTGAAATTTCTCAGTGTTATGTAAAGAAGACTGGAAATTGTCTAAGTTTATTTAATGAGTTGGTTGTGAGCATTTATTTATTGTGTAGTTTAGTATTATTGCTGCTGGTTTAGCGTCAGGTTTAGGTCTGATACATGTTTTTTTCAACTATTTGTCTTGCCTATGGACCATACTCTCAAGATCTTCTCTCAAGCAACAGTCCCATGGGAATTGCACATGGGGCTCCTAATGTTTGTTGACAGGAGCTACAAAAATTACATCTTCCACTCAATCAGCAGCTAGCTACTGTGAGTATATCATATTGTCACATCATACAGTCACATCACTGAGTCACATCATACAGTCACGTCATCGAGTCAAATCACTTTGTCAGGCTCGCTGACTTGGTTGATGCATGTCATCGTATCCCATTTGTGTGGATTGATGCTTATGATGTGAATCACTGGGTTGTCTGGTCCAGACTCGATTATTTACACACCGCCATCATATTGCTGGAATATTGCTGAGTGCGGCGTTAAACAACAAACAAACAAAAAACAAACTTAGTCACTTCATACAGTCACATCATTCACTCACCTCCAATCACATCACTTCGTCCTGTTTAGTCACATCATTCAATGTTTTATGGCAATGATCTGAGTAGGGAACACAAGCAGCCAAGACAGCTCCACCTGATACTAACTTTAGTCATCTTGTATACGAAACATAAGTTACCTATTCTTCAAATTTCATACTTCCATTTAATAATTGTCTGTGAAGGTGCCTTGGAAACATGTCTAGGAATGAATGTGGAGTAATTTGACAATGGCCATACAGATGTAACTCATTACCTATTGATTGGTTACCTTGTATTTGATGTATGCGTGGGGGAAGATACAGTTGGCCCAGTGTTCTAAGGCACCGCAATCGCTGTGAAGAGTTGCATCCCTTAGGCATGCCAGGAACCTATGCTCATCGGTTTCACCAAAGTGTTAAATGTCTAAGACCTGAATCACTTTGGTCTTTCCTCCACCATCATGCTGACACAACACCATATACTAACTGGATTACTGTTCACAGCAGCGTTAAATCAAACTCACTCACTCACTCACTCACTCACTCACTCACTCACTCACTCATTTGAGGGTTTGTCGTGGATCAATCTCTTTAAAATCAGATCTCGCTGCCGCTAAACAAAGATCCCATTACGGGTCACATAAGACCGACCTTGTGCGAACTCTGACCGACCAATGGAATGACCAATCAGAAGGCAGCTTTCTCGGGCTTTACGGCACTAATTTCAAATTGGCGACTACACTTCGAAACATATTTTGACAAATTCTCGATTAAAAATATGAAACCTGAACAAAAGTACATTCTGGAATCGCTCATCTATGGTCTAGGTTGTATGGATTCAGTTGTTAAACCCATAACTATCGTTCGGAATACCCCGTGTTAAAGTTTTCAAGAATGCATGATTAGAAATCAATTCCGACTGTCACTTTCATGATCTGGTAAGAGACACTCTGATTGGTCGGATGAAAGGTCGTTCTCACGTGACCCCTACTGGGATGTCCTCAGATCTTTGTTTAGCGATAGCGAGAACTAAGATTTGATTTTAATGAGATTGGTCGTGGATAAGTGATCAACCCTCGCCTATGAAATGGCCGAATCTGTGGTAGTGTAGAGAAGCTCAGTGCTCTTAATATCAATCACTGGCTTGATTGGTCAAGGTTCCACTGCACTTTCAAGGCCACTGAGACACTGCTGTAGTATCGCTTATGAGATAACTGGTTTATTCAACACTTGCCCTCAAGACTACAGACTATTGATGAAATAGTGTATATTATTCATTCTTTAGAGACGAATGGAAGGACTCATTGGCATTTTATTCAATGACTTTAGTTTTGAAAAGTGGCCTTTCTGTTATCAGAAGACCATAATATGATCTTCACTGTAAACTGTAATTCTTCAAAACTATTGCATTTATTGTTTCATGACTTTGAGGAGATATTTAGACTTTTTGTCATATTTAAGAAAACTTCGAAATGTCCACCATGGTAGCCATTAGAGATATGTTATGTTATGTGGCATCTATTAGATATCGTTATTAACTATTGAAATCAGTTTTAAAGTACTGGTAATTCATATTAAGTATTTTTTAAAATTTATTTATTCAAGATTGCCTCCATTACCGCATGCTTAGATGTCTCTTTACTTCTTTTCATTGAAATAATGGAATCGTTGGAATTTGGGTTAATAAATAATAAGTGTGGTGTAATTAAATGAGTGTGATACGTGTTTGATACCCATATGCTAGCCCAAGATAACATTCTGAGCCATTGAATATGATCGTTTGTTTCAATTTAAGAGATATCTTCAGACAATCTCAGAGGAATAGATTATTAGCAATAGTTTTCATATGATTCCTTTATTCAAAATAAAGGGAATGGAATTGCAATTACAAGTAACATATGGACAGAAATATTATAAGGTTATAATAATTGCTAACTATGTCTTCAGATTTGTTTTTTTATATCAGGAAATTGTGTCATTAACAGTTGTACCAAGTAACTTTTGACCTGAGGCCTTTTATTTTTTATTGGTTGATTTACAAAATATTTGGCCTATATATCAACTCAGGTGGTTGAAAAGTTTTACAACAATTTTCAAAATGATATCTAAAGATAGTTGATTGTTTTTTTGCTGTTGTTAATGATTTTATACGTATGATTCAACATTTGTTACCAACAGTGATGATAAAGTGTGTTTTTCATTTCACCAAATTGTAAAACAGAGTCTGCCAAAAAATGTTTTGAGTCGAAAGTCATGGTATTTTTGTCCTTATTCACTTTGGGTTTTTTGTTGTTGGTCGGTCTGGTTAACCAACTGAAAAAATAAAAGGCCTTATATACTGAACAACAAAAGTTCCTGTGATACTAAATAAGATTTGATGCAAAGTTTTGTTTTTTACCAAATCTGAATCAATTTCGGTTTGCAACAGATAAAAGACACCTGTAAGTGTAAATGGTTTAATTTGCCATACTGACTTCAGCAAATGCGTGATTTCATAAAAAGACATCAACATGCCAAAATGTCAATTTACAAATCAATGTGTGTCCACCTCTGGTTGCGATGCAAGCAACACATCTTCATCTCATAGAATGGACCAGGCGTCGCAAAGCCCTGTGGGATATCTGTCCATATCTGCTGGAGCATATTTCAAAGTTCCTGGAGTGTCTGTAGAACATGTGGTTGACGTCGAAGGCGCCGATCCATCTCATCCCACATGTGCTCGATTGGTGAGAGATCAGGGGAGCGAGCCAGCCAGGGGATGACATTCACGTTGTTTTGTTGAAGAGAATCCTGAACAAGTTGAGCAATATAAGGTCGGGCGTTGTCATGTTGAAAGGGAATGCCTGGGCCATGACGATGCAAAAACGGAAGAACAACAGGGCTGATGATCTCGTCGCGGTAGCGCTGTCCATTGAGATTTCCCTCTACCACTATCAAACGGGTCCTCTACCTTGCTGTCATCCCACCCCATACCATAACACTGCCGCCCCCGAACCGATCATCTTCCATGACACAATGATTGTTGTAACGTTCACCTCGACGTCGGTACACTTGAATCCGTCCATCGCTGTGGCTGAGGTGAAAACGAGACTCGTCCGTGAATAGAACTTGTCCCCACCGCATGGCCGTCCAGCGTAGACACTATCTGCACCACTGTAGACGTGCTTGACGGTGGTTTCCTGTCAAATTGGGACGTCTGGCGGGTCTTCTGGTGACAATCCCTGCACATCTGGGGCGACAACGTATGGTTTGTGAAGATATTCGTCGAAGGTCAGGGATGCTTCTTGCAGTCACTGTTGCTGGCTGGAATCGATTTCATAGTTGTGTTGTTCGAATCCAGTTGTCTTGTCGATTATTGGTTACGAGTGGCCTGCCACTCTGAGGATGGTCTCTGACTGCATTCGTCTGTTGCCAACGTTGCCATAAACACCAAATGGTGTTTCTGTGGATGTTAAATTGTCTTGCAACATCACGTTGACTAGATCCTGCTTCAAGCACAGGCGTGGCATTTCGTAATGTTGAAAAATTGCCTAATTTTGTTGTTTTTCTGAGTGGTTGTTGTTAAACAATGCATATTGAATCCCGTTAACGCACATGTTTTTATACCCATTCTTGGGAAGTAAAATGCATGGGGCTTGCATAAAAGTCAACTTTTGCATGGAATGCATGCATTTCTGTAGCAGTTGTGTTTTTGTGACTTGATTCCATACATGTACTACGATATTGAAAACCAAACTTTACTTGTTTGAAAAATACACTAAAATATTGGTGTCACAGGAACTTTTGTTTTTGAGCATATATAAGTTGAAGTGTGGTTAGTACACACAGGTAACACATAGGTTACAGCCAGGTAATAGACAGGTAACACACAGCAAGGTAACATTGTTACGAGATAATTGCATTCTGTAAAAAAATAAGTGTTTGGAACAATGAGAGTTTGTATCCCTTAATGTTTGCAATGTTTTTAAGTAACTCAGATTCCGATCAGGGGTAGAATAAATCTTCAGCTACTCATGCTTGCCGTAAAAGGTGACTATGCTTGCCGTAAGAGGCGACTAACGGGATCGGGTGGTCAGGCTCGCTGACTTGGTTGATACATGTCATCGATCCCATTTGCGTGGATTGATGCTCATGATGTCAATCACTGGATTGACTTGATTATTTTACAGACAGTTGTCATATAGCTGGAATATTGTTAGTGCTGTGTTAAACAACAAACCAACAGATTCCAATCAAAATTTGTTTTTAGTAGATTTTCACATTTTTTGTGGGATTTGATTTATTGATAAATATTGATTATTTTCTATTGAAATAGAATCCATAATAGGTGAGCTTCAGTACCTCTGACCCTTTTAACTATATATAATGTGCTTTTTGTGTTTTACAAGCCATTTCAAGAGCCATGACACTCAACAACTACTTTCCGTATTAAATATTTTCTTTTATGAAACAAAACCTCCGTGTTGAAACTGAATGCATGTCTTTGTTATATTATTTTGTATGATGAAAGTACAGAAAAAGTCATGTCAGGATCGTACCTTTGGAGACTTCTGTTCACTGTGTGTATTTTGTTGCTAATTGACAACCATTCAAACCACCCTTTTGCTTGTATTTTTGTATTTTGTTTGTAATATTATTTTTATATTTGGTATTCCATGTATTTACTATGAGATGATGTCATGTGGTTGTGCACTGCTGTGTAATAAAGTGAAACATTTGAAAGGTGTGTATCAAAATAATAAGTGTGTAATGTGACATCATACTGATTTTGTACATTGACAGGCAAATAGTCCCATTAAGATGCCGGTTAGAATAGGTCTTCAGCAACCCATGCTTGTCATGAGAGGGGACTATGCTTGTTGTAAGAGACAACTGACGGGATCAGGTGGTCAGGCTCGCTGACTTGGTTGATGCATGTCAAAGAATCCCAATTGCGTGGATCGATTCTCGTGATATCAATCACTGGATTGTCTGGTCCAGACTCGATTATTTACATCCCACCGTCATATAGCTAAACAACAAACTACTACTGCTGCTGCTGCATTTAGGTCTGTAGGCAACGTGACCGCCCACATGGTATGTGCATGGTATGTGTATGGTATGTGTATGTTATGATGATAGTGGTATGTTTTTAACAAGAACTTGACATGGAGCATCTAATGTTTTCTGATTTGTTCTGCTAATGGCATTGATATGCTTTGTATCTTACAATATTAATGGTGTTGATATGCTTTGTATCTTACAATATTGATGGGATTGATATACATTGTGTCTTACTCTGTTAATGGTATTAATATACAGTGTATCTTACACTCTTAATGGTATTGACATACATTGTATCTTACTCTATTAATGGTATTAATATACAGTGTATCTTACAATATTAATGGTGTTGATATGCTTTGTATCTTACACTCTTAATGGTATTGACATACATTGTATCGTACTCTATTAATGGTATTAATATACAGTGTATCTTACACTCTTAATGGTATTGACATACATTGTATCTTACTCTATTAATGGTATTAATATACAGTGTGTCTTACAATATTAATGGTATTGACATACATTGTATCTTACTCTATTAATGGTATTAATATACAGT